TGTGCACTGTTTCAAATGATATCGAGGCATTAGAATCACATTAGAGTAAGATTTACAACGCTAAAAGTATACACATAAAACTGGCACGGGAGGCATGAAATGACGGAAAGTACACATAAAACTGACTCGACGGGGCTTCCTCGTAGATATCTGAGGATAAGTGATCATAAATCTACGCAGAAAATAGAAATTACTTTCAATCTTACCTTTTTTCTCCTTTTTCAGCAGTAAGATACCTGAAAAGCAAAGATTAACGAAAGAAAACACTAGAAAACATCGCTCGGAAACTCGCAGCGGCAATTATCGACGCTTCACCGTTGTCGCGTCTGCAGAAACACTATATCAAGCAGGAAATCTACTCGACTATACAAGCGCATACAACTTCGCTTACCCTCCTTATCCGGCACAGTCAACTCACAAGGGAAGGACACTTTGGTGACCATGGCCTTTCAAAAAGCGCTGATTCTAAATCTGCTTTCGATACCTGTTATGCGCTCTTCCGAAAAAGGTTCAGAACACTTCTCGGCACCAGAATTTGCACTGTTTTGACTATAGGATTTACCAAAATCGTTATAACGTTCACTTAAGCCCTACAGAAAGTCTTCCAAAACTTAGAGCTTCACCTTAAGCTCGGGAAAACTGTCTCCGACAGATCAGAGTCTAGAAAGCCCAGAATGGATAATCCTGACCGAAAAGATATCGTGAAAATAATATGGAAAAAAAGACTATAACTTTGTTCAGAGAGTCCCAAAGAGATAATGAACATAAATTATGAATCAGCGTTTCAAGACGCATCTATTGCAGTGCATCACAATGCAAAAACTCACGGTCACCAAGTATCCTTCCTTTCCTAAAAACGATGTTAGCTGCAACTTTTTCCAATGCATCCGGGCCTTCTTTCCTTTGGCCAATACGCTACACCATCCAAGTAGCCACTCGGAAGTTTTGGCAGCTGGAAAGCAGGAAAGGTTTTACTAGTAGTACGAAACTTATCTGAGCATAAAAAGTGATCATCCTAGATACAAGGCTGATCAATTGCAGTGTCGGATGCATCAGCATCTTCACTCCCGCGTGCTACTGTGCACCTCTTCCGCGAACATGCTCTATGATCATTTCCAATCTATTGAGGCTCCGCCTTTCACCGCTAAGAGTGGGAATGTGATCAGAGAGTATGTTCGCGGAAGAGGTGCATGAATGGGAGTTTGAACTTTTCCTCCCGTTGAACTCCCTCAAAAGAAAGCGTTGACTTTTACGGTGCCCATTCCTCTTTGCAGAAAGCTCCCCAACGCATGCGAGAGCATCAAAATCCATTCCTACAATGTTTTTGTGGCTACTGTGCCCAATGTCCTCCCGTCCCAGTTCACAGAGTTTCCTTAGTGAACCCAGACTCTTCTTCATTGGATGCGAAAGCACCAAAATCAATGCCCGAGTCTTTACATGGTCAGTGTGCCCAAGCACCTTACCCTCTCCAGAATTCTCTCCCTGCCCTGTCGTGCCAGCTCTTTCTCGCTACTTTAGTTCCTCAAAGTTCCCATGTTGGAACCTTTCTCCGTGGGGTTTTCTAGTCAAAGTACCCGAATTTTCCTACCACCGAAGTTCTGCAAATGAAAGCACTGTATGCCCACTCCTTGTTCCTGTCCTAAGCTGCTGTAGCTGTATTTCAAGTAATTGTGTTTATTTGTGTGAAGATGGAACCACCAAATTTTACAGTCCTTATTGAGCAAATTTTGCTACAGCTTACCATGAAAAAAAAAAAATAGGCTGATTCATAATCGTCGAGAATCAGATTTAGGAATTTCGAAAAGTCGAAATTTGCAACCTTCATATCTGTCGTTTAGAGAACAGCCGCAGCGGCTTTGCAAGTTTTAAAGCGTAAGTGTTATTTTTTCAAAATTTAACACGTTGACGACCGTGTGCATATGCCTATATACACGCCATGGTTCCGTTTAGCATTTTTGTGCATACCCACGTTTGCACGCAAGTTTTTTAGGTTAACGAAAATTTCTGAGGTAACTTCTTGCAATATTACTACTGGTAGCCTGATTATCATAAGGACACAGCATCGCGGCAGCTGTTCAGATCTGTAAAACAAAAATTTGGGTACTCAGACCATTTTTGAAGTGGTGATATATGCTGCTTATGTCTTTTCAAGAAATTAAAACACTGTATAGTTGTTTTGAGAGTGCACAAATATAAATCAGGCCAAATATAGCGCTTTTCTCGGAGGGAGATTCCCCACACATAGCCTTGCATGATTTGTTGGAGGGGAAAGCAATGCAAAAATCTTGACAAGTGTAATTCCTGATAAAACTCTCTGATATACATGTATTTCTGGGTGAAGTTTGTGTTGGTGTTTGAACAACGTCAAAAAGACTCTCACAGACGCTACAATACTCTCGTGCATGCACGCGTACGCACGGGTCAAATGCGCGAGAAACGTTGGTGAGAATTTCGCCCAAAATGCTCGGTCGTCAACGTGTCAAATAGCTTACTGACAGCTGATATAAAGTCCTATAAAACTTCATCGGAAAGCGTATGGTGTTGCAACTTCACAGATTTGATAGAGTAATGTTTGCTCTATCAGACTGCGCATGATCCACGACGATCCGAGAAAAGCTAGCCGAGAACCAGGCACTTGAAAAATCAAGCAAAAAATTTGTTTTCCAAACTTTAACATCATCTTCAGCATTCCACAAAAGATGATACTTTCTTGCGCAGAATCTCTTTTCAAGAGCTTTCAAAAGTTGTGTTGATGTGTAGAGGGTCTACTGCTACTTCCGTTTGTAAGGAGAGGGGGAGAGTGGGACTTCTTTTTTTTTATGAATCTCCTCTGCGGCCTAGCCAAACACTAAGTGGGCGGGACTGAGTATTTGCTATTAAAGTCTCCTTCGTCTCCTCCCACTTTCAAGTCTTACTCTACAAAACCTGTAAATCTGCAAATTTTTATGCTCAAGCTTTATAGGAGTTGAAATGTCAGCTGTCCTTAGCAACCTAAAATGGCAGTGTTTTGTAAATCTGCTTCTCGGCCGACTCTCAGACCCCTCCCTCCTGTCTGGCCCTCAACCCCACATCTCACGCTTGATATGCATATACCTCTCTGTGTGTATCTATCCCAATAACGAACGAATTTCTCGTCGTCTTTAACGAAAGTGTTATCTGGCGCCAGATAAAAGACACAGGGTTAGTCAAGGTATTTCATCAAGATAAGCAAACATGCAGTCGTAATCGAAAGAGATAAGAGATGTTGCCGACATGAATCGACAACAGTTTCATCGTCCCCACCTTTAAGGCTGCGCAAAAGGTGATTCAGCCACAACAACATCAAGGGAGCAATATAAATATTATCGTAGTCGTCAGTTTTACCCATGTCCTATAATGTATTCTTACAAGGCTTACATACGTTAAGGATACAAGCGTCTAGGAGTGGTAGAGAGATGTGCAAGCGGACCATAACAGACTGGGATTGTGAGTATCAGTCACTATAGGACGATTATGAACGAGTTTGGTAATGATCGATGATAATTGCCTTAGTCTCTACACTTTTAGCTCTTTGCTGCAGTTCTTTTCTGCTTAAGTAACAGTGCGAAGAGTTGGTAAAATCAAAGAAATATCATAAGAAACGACTTGACATCTATGTTTGATTCCATACCACTGAAGAGTAGCGGTATCTTATATATAAAGCTGAATGTCTGTTTGTATGTCTGTCTGTCTGTCTGTCTGTCTGTATGTCTGTGTGTACGTATGTTCCGAATAGAAAATTCCATTTCAGAACCGATCCGGACCAAACTTGGCACACATACACTACGGGCCCCGGCGGGTGCCATAGGCTACTTTTCGTCATCGATCGATATCGATTTTATCGATTTCTTGCAAAATTTGAGCTAGGGGGCTGGGATTTGGCACAGGGGGGTGATCGATCATGTTGATTACGAATACAATATTAGTTTTCGAAACTGTGCATTACTTTTATCGATTTTATCGATTTTTTTGCAAAGTTTGAGGGCTGGGATTTGGCACAGGGGGGGTAATCGAGCATGCTGATCATCCCGTGGGGGTGATCAGCATGCTCGATTGCACCTCTTTGCCAAATTCCAGCCCCCTAGCTCAAATTTTGCAAAAAATCAATAAAATCGACATCAATCGATAATGAAAAGTGGACTGTGACACCCGCCGGGCCCGAAGTGTATGTGTGCCAAGTTTGGTTCGGAGCGGTTAAGAAATGGAATTTTCTATTCGGAACATACGGCGGAGCCGGGTGTGCCAGCTAGTGATTTTATAATCACTACTTTGATTGAATAGTTTCTGAAATTTTTGTAAACAGACAAGACGCAAAAAACCCTTCAATCATCCGTCAACTGTATTCGGCAGGGGTAGTACAAGAATTCGATAGGCTACGATATAAGGAAGTAGAATAATAAAGTTGAGTTGGAAGAAAAACAGCAGATTCGCTGATGCAAAGTTATAGATTTACATATGGCTTATTTTTCTGCAGGCTATCTTGGACAGTCTTCCTTCCCTGGGTTCCTACACAGAAACACAAATTGAGAAAAATGCATTGTATCGCATTACTAGAAATGCGTCGAATCTCATGACTACAGCATAACATAGCAATGCATCAGAGAGAAAAATCTACGACTGGCTTTTACCAACACGTTCAAAATCGATTTTTGAAATTCTTGGCAGGACTCTGTTCTCCGGACAATACAGAGAGGCGTTATGGTGACCCATTCTCAATGAACAAAGTAATTCACTTTGACACAGTCCATCACATTCGGGATCCTTCACTCTGAAGGCGTTCCTGAAACTTATTGGATTTTTACTATGCCAATTTAAGATTCCAAATACGAACCTGACAAATCTCTTCGTCACATTTTTGTGTGTATAGATGGATTTGATCAATTTATTCCAGCTTGCAGGTGATAAATCCGGTAAGTTGTACTCAGCCTGCAAAAAACACTTGACATTGATCGAGAAACTATTGCAAAAAAATTTGCCAAAACCTTCGCTGAATACATCATTTTCCAGTTTGGTGGATGGGTTTCGTTAGCTTTCGAGACATCGGCATAATAATTCTTTATGTCCGCGACTTTCTAAATGATGGAAGTAGAATTTACCGGGTATAAAATCATTCACGAAGTCTTTTTTCGGCGCATAATGAAGGTTCTCTAGGAATTTTGTATGAAACAAAACCAATGTGAAAAAGCTGAGGGTTGTAATCTTGCGCAGGATCAGGTATCTCAAAAACCTTTTTCGGTGAAGTTAATGCTACAGAAATCCTAAAAATTATTTTACAATTTTTTGCTCCCTCCCTTCCAGTTCTGGGACTAACCATTTGTTCATTTTCATTAATTTATTTATCAGATTTTGCTAAAAACAACTAAAGTTAAGAACTAACGAGATGGTCTGAGCTAAATTACATTTTCTATTTACTGTACAATCCCCATTTCTATTCAGTTGACTTGTACTTTATAGTTAACATCAAGATCTAATTTTTCCTGCTAACAAAGAAAAAGAGAATTTTCATATTGTTCATGAGACTACCGTAACCAAACTGTGCATAAGCAACTTTATCATCTTCATGAGTAAGACCTGTTTGCGCTCACGATCGACGTTGGTGATCTATGAACATAAACCAATGAGTTCATTTTCTTTGTCAAACAGTAAAAATGACTTTCCCCGGTTAATCAATTATTGGTGGCCTGTCACTCTTTTGCAAATAGCATGGAATATTTTTTGTTTGGTCTGGTAAGCAGCACCCACCATCTCAGAACTGCTTCATGAAATCTGTAAGAGCACTCCCCCATGCAGTTTCTCATAAATACCTTAGTTCTAAAACTTTGTTCTTCAAAAGCTTTCAGTTTTCAAAGTCAATATACTAAATCTCAAGATTTTTACCTTTATTTCTTTGCCCTAAATCCAAGAACAATCATCAGATTTATTATTAGAAAATGTGCATGACGATTGCAAGGTTTTCTGCTACAGAATATTTGTTCGAGTTCTTTGAAACTTAGTTAACTAAGAAATTTCATTGAAAACTGGGTGGTCGGGAGACCATTTTGTGCAGTGTAAATATTGTAAGCAAAAAGTATTGCAAAGCTTTTGCAGTATTAAGCGTATACCCAGTACATTTAGTGCTATGAAAATGAAGGATTTTTTTCAATTCCCAGTGAAGAAAATTTCAAGAACCTCGAAAAAGGCAAGGCAATTTTTCGAACCCATAGAGATGCTAAAAATAAGTAAGTACCTTCGAAATTTTCGCAATATTCCTCCTGAAAAAAATACAAAAAAAAAAGAGTTCAGCACGATTTTTCATTGGCTACACATCGAGCAGCGTGTGTGCTATTCTACAATAAATCAAAGTTTATGGCTCTCAAGCTGGAGGTTTCCGAAAAGGTTTTTCTGACAATCTTTAGTACATAGGGTTTGCTCTTTACGGTAGTTTTTCTGCGCTCAGAAAGAGTTTTTCAAGAAAAAGTTATTTCAATCCAGAATAGAAGACTTGCATTGATTATGAATCAACCTTATACACAAATCTCAAAAATTTGCATAATTACGGCTGATAAATCTGAGCATGCGTTTTCTGGCGGAAGCAAGGAAGCTGTGCGGTTTTCATCAATCTAAATTGTCTACAAATCTGATAAAAGGCCGATCGACTATGAAAATTATTCGTCACACGTTTCAAACTTTAGCAGATTCGAAAATCTCAAAAAGTTTGAAGTTTTATGTCCCACCCCCTTTCTACCCTTGCTGCTAAGAAGCCCTGCAACTCTTATGGCATCGATGGTAAAAATACAAATCACTTACAAATCTATCAGTGTAATCCACTTCATAGATACGGTACGCTGGATTCAGATTTGCAAAGGTAGTAGCACTTGGCGTCGCGTACAGTACCTAAACAACATTGTATCCGGATTACTGTAACTGCGCCCGCCAAGTTCAAATCTTTACTGTTCTTGCTGCAAACCAGTAGATGACTGAAAATGACATAAAGTGACATTTACTAACCCCGATAGGAGTAGATGAAGTATCGTGCATGTCTTCATAGAAAACTGTAAAGTAGTCGGTGTGAACGTGCCCGAAAAATTGTCCCGTGATAGTGTTTGCAAATCTGGAAAACAGCAATGGCACTAAAGATTTGGAGAAGTGAAGTACCTTTGAACAATTCTATAGTAGTTGCGGGACCAGCCTTCCAAGCATTCTCCATCGCCAGGGGGAATATGCGATAGCACATGTACAGAATCGCCGGCTATTTCTGCCTGCAATTTACATATTCAACCATGAAAGGTGAAGAAAAGATGCAAGAAGAAACAACAGGTGGGAAAAAGCCACCAGCCAGCCTGTTCTAATCAAAAACGTTTACGGTGATGCACCCCTTTTCTTTCCCATCTTCTAAGCAGCGTAAAAGATTCCTTTCCACTGCCATAGACCACAAGCGGACGCAAGAACGGTCAGGACGGAAAGGGTGGGGGGAGGACACTTTTACACCTACTGAACCCACAAGAGTCACGAATTTAGTGGCTTATTTCTACTTCATAAAAAAGTAAATGAAGAGCATCTTAGAAATCCATTTTAGTTTTATGAAAAAAAAATTTTGGGGCTGGGGGGGGGGGTGGGGGAGGGTGGCTGCTGCAAGCCTCACTTTCTAGAAAATTCAAGGATCCTAAGCTCGTCAAAAATTGGGAGATCCCCTAAGTTAGATTGGTCGCCTACTTATTTCTCTGAATTTCGAGCCATAAAAAATAGTTGTTTCGGTGCTGAGAATGGAAGAAAGAAGAAGAAGAACACCAAGAAGGAAACTGCAATAATGCGAGGAAGCTACACAAATCTTTTATTGCGTCCACGAAAAATGTTTGTTTTTCAGGGAACGGGCAGAAATTACTCCGTAGCACCCTTTTTAAAACAATAAGTAACCTTGAACAGCTCAGCTACAAACCATGTCATCGTTCCGTCAGGATCACTTTGGTTCAAGTACAAAAAGCTGAAACACAGGTTTGTTTGACATTTGCAGTTTAAAGGATACGATATGTACTTACAAATTTGTCGTCTCACAAAATCCCGAGTTGAGAGAGATCAAACGCAATCCTTCAGTCACTTGTACAGCATAAGATCCACGACTGAAATGTTCGGCCGTAATGTGGCACAGGAAATGGGTAAGATTCAGACCAGAAATTCACTAGAGCACCGCTTTTGACGCATCCGATGTGAGCCAAGGAGAGCTCATCTTCTCAAATTCTTCGTAGAGCCATATCGGCCAGAAACGTTCGTCGACGAAATGTGGGGCAAAGCTGGAAATATAAAGTGCAAATGAGGTTGAATTCAGATTGTTAATGAAATTTATTAACGACTAGCTGGCTTACCCGGCTCCGCCCGGCCCTGTCAAAACACTTTGATAAAGTTCCATTCTCTTCCCTGTACAATCTTTCTCTGTGCCCACTTCTACATGCAATTCCCTATTCCCGCTATGTTAGTAATTAGCATCCTCAGCTACCTTCCTCACCAACCCCCAGCCCCGTAGCTCAAACTTTGCAAAAAATCAATAAAATCGATAAAAGTAAGGGTAATTCTAAAAACTGGTGGCGCTATTCGGCTATCCAAGCTCCAAAATGTTTTTGTAGGTAGTCATTTCGCGTGGCAACGGGTAAAAATCACGAACCTGCCTGAAACCATGGCAGAAAATTAACTAAAGTGCTGTTTTAAGAATATTGTGCTTAATCCCCACGATAATGGTAATTCGTGTGGTATAAAAGTTTTCTACGACCATAATGCTTTCCTTATAGAACCACTGCCGCGCGCGATACACCCTTCGGCGGCTTTTGCCTAAGCAAAAACAGGGGAAGGAGATTTGCCGCGTGCCTTACGCGTTGGAACAGGTTATCAGGATGGCGCTGGAGAAGGCTATGCAAAACGATCGTTTCCCCATTTCGTGAATATCTGGGATCTAAATTGGCCCGAAAGCGAAAAAATGTCCATTCAAACCCTGCAACTCACTATAACTTTACAATAACGCGTTAAGACAGTGAGCAAGCATCATATTCATAAGCAGTATGCTTGTGAACCGTTACAGGTAAGGTTTTGAGCAAATCTGGAACTTCGACCCATCTACTGTTGTACACGCACTGTAACCCAAGAAAATGCCTATCCTGCGAAATCAGCATGAAATTCATGTTCAGCGCGCTAAATGACTACTCTAGACGAAGTTTAAAGCAAACACATGCTCGTTTCCATACCGTATAACCACCATAACTCTATGATAATGTCCCAGTATGCAGAGAGAGTATGAAATTCGTAATCAGCATGTCGAATAAGTTCTCTGGACCGAACTCCAGCCGAATGCATAATTTTGACTACCTGCCGTACACCTATCGTAACCACATGGGGAAATGTTCTGCGGAGAAAGTTTGATATCTGTAATCAGCATGTAGATAACCCTTATACACGAATTTTGAGCAGCTCTACGACAAAAAAATTTTGGGATAACCGAATAGCGCCAAATTAATATTGTAATCGTAATCAGCATGCTCGATTACACTCCTGTGCAAATCAGCCCCACAGGTCAGACTTTACAAAGAATCGATAAAAGCGATGAAAGTAATTGATAATTCTGAAAACTAATGTATTCGTAATCAGCATGCTCGATTACCCCCCTGTGCCAACTCCCAGCCCCGTAGGTAACTCTGCAAAAAAAATCGATAGAAATCGATAAAATCGATAATGATCGATGACGAAAAGTGGCCTATGACACCCGCCGGGGCCCGAAGTGTATGTGTGCCAAGTTTGGTCCGGATCGGTTCAGAAATGGATTTTTCCATTCGGAACATACGTACCCACAGACATACATACAGACAAACAGACATACAGACAAAGACATTCACCTTTATATATAAGATTATGTATAATCTCTTTGAAATTTCCAGAACTGGGCACACCCTCAAGACTATCCACCTCTCCCCCATCGCGGCCCCCGCCCACTTTGTGGCGAACCCCGCCCACATAGACTCCTGTGAGACCAGAACTTGGAGTGATATTTCTTCCAGCGTGGGTAGCTATTTTGGCAAAACTATCTTTTTACATATTCTCCAATTACCTCGCAAAAAATTAGCAAGAATGTGAAAAAGTCAGACAATTCAAGCTGGATAAGGACTAACCTATTGACTGGCACTCCCTCATGATTTCCAATGGCCCAGTAAGTAGGGGTCGCAGGAAAATAATGACGAATCAATGAACTTAAATTTTTTAGTGCTGCGACGTGAGTTTCCACACTATATGACCAATCGAAGTGATTTATGAAATCTCCAGACATCATTATGTAGTCGATCTGTAAACAATTTATTCTTAAAGTGCCTAAATTTAGAAGCATATGTTTCGTTATTATTGAAGGTATACTTCATCTCCCAACAACGATTTATTCCAGCAAGTAATACTACTATTTCAGGGTTGCAATGTGAAGAGTATAGTATCTTGTCTTGTTTCGGTTCCGAGCAAAAATATTCTATTTATTTTTTTCCTTCAAACCGGAAATTGTTCAATATTTAGCATGCTACATGCTCAGTTTTGAACTGCCGAACTCTTTTTACAAGAACAGATCTGCAAGAGAAGTTTTGCAGTGGCGAAGAAATCTTACCATAATTTTTTTTCTACTGGACTTGCGTTCTGCAAAAGTGTTCTCGCACTTTTTGAACGATTTCTTACCCGACTGTACTTTTCTTAAATTCTTTAGAATGTATTTTTAGAAGATACCATTATATTAGGTCTTAGTTTGAAGAGCTGATAACACAGCGACTTTCATGAGCTCTAGAAGAGCTAAAAAAGTACATATCTATGTGAAGACTATCTATCATACTAAGAAAACTAGCAAAAAAATGTTTGTAATTCGGCTACATACCTAAATTTTGAAAACACTTTTTGCTGCGTGCTCCCAGTTCAGGGGAACTCGATAAGCAGCAAAACTCTAGAAAATGCAAAATTATCGTAAATTTAGGTTTTACCGTTTGTGTTAAGCAATGCTGAATTATGGTATCGAAGAGATGTCTTGGAGCCTACTTAGTCAACATTCTGTCATGAGGGCCGGGCATACTTCACGCGATTTCTTTTGTGACGCCACTTGGCAATATTCCAACTGTCTATAACTTACTGCAAACACATTTGAACTGCACAGAAGTTAGGTCATTTTATTAAGTGAGTTATATAAACTATGCGTGTGCAGTTTGCTAGTGTTGCATCTGGAGACTTCTGGCGAATTGCCAAATCGCATCGCGACTGAAATCGCGTGAAGTATGCCCGGCAATATAGCAAACTACGATTTGAAACAAACTGCAGCCCAGAAATTCAAGATGCTGTTTGCATACAATTGGTAAAACTTTCGCTTTTTTGCATCCGCTTATTCGAGGACTCGCGTGAGATTCTTGCTTGATCCTAAACATGTTGGTCCAAAAAGGAAATGTTTATTTACCAATCAATTAGAAAAAAATAGGGGGGGGGCATTTCGCGTTTAGATCCTGCAGATGCGTATCTGGAGGTATTTTCCTGCTTACAATTAATTACAAAACATGCGAAATGTCTGGAATATGCTATAATAGCTAACCTCATGCGTAGCATTGATATGCTGCAGCATATTTTGAAATGTTCGGTAGGGTATATCGCATTTCCCAGCAGTTCCCCAATAGCCAGCTGCTTTGCTAGGATCTGCAAATGCGATATGGTAAACTATGTACTGATGATAGCGATTTTTTGGGTAATGATAGCCAAGAAAAGTAATTTTTGAAAATCATTAGGTTAAAAACGTACGAGTTTCCTGTCTGCAACAGACCGGTAGATCGCAATCTGCCTCCGAACCAGGCACATACTCAAAATCAACATGTAAATCAGAAAGCTGCAGAACTCGAAGATGTCGACTAGCGCCATTTTTCACCGTATCTGCAAGGAAAACTCTCCCTTCGAATTATTTCTGCAAGGAAATTTCATACGCTTTGGCCTCCGTTCTTCAATCAGCTCCAACAATTCAGGGCTAGGTTTCGGTGGCAACTCAACTTCCCATCCTGCCTCTGTGATATCATCGGGATCGGCGCATTCATTTAGCAAAAGACCACAAATTCTGGATGGGCTTTCATCGGACATACGTCGGAATACGTAGAAAAATTCATCCTGAAAACGACTTAATTTTTGTTACTGCTAAAATCTCAAAGGGACGGGCATACTTCACGCGGTTTCAGTCGCGGCGCGATTTCGCAATTCACCAAAAGTCTTCAGATAACATTAGCAAACTGCACATGCATAATGTGTATAACTTACGTGGATTGATAAAATGCCTTAATTTTTGTACATTTAAAATTTGCCTACAGTGAATTATGGAAAGTTGGAATATTGCCAAATCGCGTCGCGACTGTCGCGTGAAGTATGCCCGGCCCGTAAGCAGCATACTTTAAACTGTCCGGAAATCCCATTGCACACCACCCAACTCTGTTTCGCTGCCAATTTGCAAATGATAGTTGCAAATTCGAGAATGACCGGCTGGGATTTGTCCCATTTGACAATGAGACTGAAAACAAAAACCATAAATTATCGGTAGAATCTGAGTAAATCTTTATCGGTAGATAAAAACTGGTAATCCATCGGTAGATATCGGTAGAATCTTGAAAAATAAAATTTTCTTAGCAGTAACGTTAATTTTGTGTGTGGAAGGTCCGAGGTTCGTGTCTGGTCAAATTTTATATTACTATGGTTTCACTATAACTACTGCAAAAAAATTATAAATTTATATGCGGCGTGTATACCTACATCTTCATCGAAAAGATGATCTTAACGTAGAAATTCAAGCAAATTTGAGCAGAGCGGGGGTTGATAGAGCTAACAGTTAGCATTTTACTCATTGTCATTGAATGTCAGAATTTTGAAACATGTTGCTCTAATAAAAAACAAGCTTTTTGCTGATTTTCTAAACATGGGCAAAGCAAATCAATATAGAAGTCTGCAGTGCGTCTCAGACTATCAAGAAAAAATGATTTCTAGAAACGGTCGTATGCAACTCAGTATGTTAGGTTGACCTTAAAATTAATTCCTTTTTCAAGTAAATCAAGCGCTTTCTGTTTTACCGGCAGATTTATGGCGATACTAGAGCGACGCAAGCTCTACAAAATAATCACCAAGGTCTGCCTAATTCGTAATCCAGGTCTGGAGTCAAAAATTAAAGTTTTTCAACTCCTCCCATAATTAAGGATCTCCTTCCAGAAAAAACCTACGGAACTCCAACTCAGTCATTACACAATAGACACATAATACTTCTCAATGCAAATGGAGGATTTTTTCCGAATCTCAGAATTAAGAAATAAAAGTAATCCGAAAACGCAAAAATGTAACTTTTTTTCGCGTTTTTTTTTGTGTTGAACTTGGTTCTTCTCGACTACCACATACAGAGAGAAGTTGGGGGCGGAGTTTGCCAATTTGGAATATCTTTTTTTTCTCGTTTTCTTTGTATGGGAAAAATACAGTGAAAGCAATTTTGAATACTACTATGTGTCTACTATATAACGACCGAATTGGAGCTCCATAGAATTTCCTTCGCCAAAACGTAATTTTCAAGCGTTGGATTTCTTTTTGATTTTGGCTCCAAACTTGATCTAAATTACTACTTAGGCGGATCTTTGGTGAGCATTTTGTAGAACTTGCTTCGCTCTATCGAATGGTACCTTAAGTCTTTCAGGAAGACAAAAACAGCTTGATTTCTCTAAGGAGGTCACTTTTGGGACAACTTAATAGTTTGTACGTAAAGGTGTTTGAAAATTTTACTACTTACTAATGCATGAAATTACTAATATTATCGTGACTTACCTAAGTGCTGATATGGCTGCAGTACATGATATACAAAGTGGAGAGAATCGAACAGTAGTTTCTGGAATGTTGACGGTAAAATGTGCATATGGTGCAATAAAAACAAAATGCTCACTTGTTTTTACTGCAGTACTTCTTTTGATAGAAAAAGCCTGTGTTTGTATAGTGAAAACGATCACAACTAGAACAGCAAATTCTCTCCAGCGCATTATCTCCAAGCTTTACGGCACCTCTAGTCTAAGTGCTAGTCGTGTAATAGCAGAGGAAATTTCTGAAATCGAAGTTTATTAGATAGAAAAGAGAATGGTTGCACAGGATCCAAAAGGTAACAAGAAATACAGAACAGAATAGACGTCAATGATTGAATACTGCTATAGAATGTTCATCAACCCATGTTCAATACACAGCAATAGAACGAATCTTCGATCTTTCTTCCTTAGTGTAAAATTACCGTAAAAACCTCGAGAAGGATTTTATATCATTGAATGCGATATCTTGCCTTAGAAAAAAACAAGCCAGAAATTCTTGTACTGGGTTAATCGGGGTCGCTGATTTTCAATATGAATTTGCACTTCACTGTAATGCTTCTTCCAGAAGTTATCTTAGATTTTTTATGTTCGTCAGAGATGTGATTACACCACTGAAAAGCACGGAAATCTAGTAAGAAGTTGTGTGGTGAAACCAGCACGTCTGAAAACCTCAAACAAATTTCCAGATTCGTTGGAATTTCTTCCATCAAAAGGCTGTACTGAAAGTTCTAACCGTAGTCCTAAGTTATGATGAACGATTGGTGATTTTTCCATACTGAAAATCTAAGTTCCTCGCTTTATAAAATGACACCTCAAGCTTGGCAAAAGACATGAAGGGAAGAGAATTGCTAGCGAACAAACAGCGCGCACATATTTTTTAGGACACCCTGTATCAAACAGACAATCAAGCTGGTGATAGAGGACACTTACCGTTGTTTCACACAAAGTTTCATGGATGCGAACATATATAGATACGATAAGATTATCAAACAAATGCACTCTTGATGCACTTCTGGAACGTACTCGTAGCGATAGCATTCGAAAAAAATCTTTCCTACTTCTTATCATCACAAAATCTTAGAAACAACGTATCAAAATCGAAAAAATAAGTCTGCTTCTGACTCTGTGCTTTTACTTAACACATTCACGACATTACGACCCACCGGTGGGTCGTAAGATCCTTGAAGCTCTATTTTTGTCATTTTACGATGGAAGTCTACGGGATTCTGGCACATGATTGGGGACACTTAGGCGAAGTTCTCTTAAGAATGGTCCGGGATCGGGATACTGTAATGCAACGTTACGGTAAGTATATTGTAGATAGAGATAAAAAACTTAAGCTCAAATTCTTCGCAGATTGATGCTGTCTCTAACAAGGGAAGTCACTTAACTTAGGTCGGGCTTTTGAAATGAGACACATATATTTAGAACCAGCTCGGAACGCTGATTCCAAGTATGCTATCCTTAGCTGCGAAGCGTTTCTCTGAAGCGAGTTATGAGCTTTTTTAGTATGTGGCACTGACATACAACTAAATATGGAAAGAAGGTCTATGGATGGAAATCTGTCCAAAAAGTGGTGGAAAATCAAAATAACATCAAAATGAGTCAATTGGCTTTGATAGGGTATAATATGCATTTGAATCACTACCTAGATGATGATACCGTAGCATACCTAAGTCGGTCAACACGCAAAATTTGCTCAGGAAAAAGCTCATAACTCGCTTCAGACAAACGCTTCGCAGCTAAGGAAAGCAGATTTGAAATCAGCGTACCAAGCTGATTCCAACCATATGTGTCTCATTTCCAAAGCCCGACCTAAGTTAAGTGACTTCCCTTGTAAGCAATCAAGTGGACACGCACGAGTAATTCGTGGTTAGCAAAAGACTCTTGTTAGCCCATCGAAAAATCTTCGATTTTACTGATTTTATTGATTTTTTGCGATGTTCAACCCGAAATCATATCTTATATATGTAGGTTTTTTCGCATGCTGATTGCGAAAATGACAGGCTCAAGTCTTAATCCGCTTTCGTGCACCATTTCTTGGTTTCTGCGAAAATTTTGCCGTACTGCTACCGTAACCCTACTGTGGGACAGTTGTGAACAAAGCGAACACTATAGTCGTGATCAGCAGAAACAACCCTAAAACACACTTTTTCATGAAAATCCTGATATTGGGTTCGAACTAAATGACTGCCGTCACCTTACAGTATAACGCTAAAAATTGAAATAAATCATATTTTGATAATCAACGCCTTCGACAAGCCGTTGAAGGCATTCTCGAAGGCAGCTTTTGAACTTTTTTTCCAAAAGACTACTATTTCGGACAATACGACCACAGGTGGATCGTAAGTTTGACAAAACGAAAAAGGCTCTGGTCTGAAACGGTAGTAATCGAAAAATCGGCCTTGTCGTGAATGTGTTAAGCTATAGAAGCAAGATTATTGCGCAGAAGTTGCTTCGAAAACCCGATGAATCTTGGTTGGTCAGCGCACGACAGTTCAATTTTCTAGCAACAAAGCATATATCGCTAAAGGACAGTACGCATCAGGAAGTATAAAAGCAAGTCACCGATTTTTACCATAAATAATTATTTTCAGCCTCGTTCAATGTTTCTAAGGCAAAACAAAAAACATATTGAACTTTTGCACTTACAGACGATGATATCAAACATATGTTGATAAAAGAACAATGGTCATATTTTTCTCTCATAACGTCTGCCTATTAGAATGTTTGCAGGAAGGATCGATTACACTGTGATAAAGTTTTGAACCATTGAACAAATGTTTTTTCACTGAGAATAAATGTCTTTTGATTTGGAGATGAGAATGAAAGGAAATACGACGTCACAACATCAAAAGTGAAAATATTATTGAGGAAACAATAGACGATCAAAAAGAATACGATCCAGCTGTCAATAATCAACAAACGCCATAGAAAATCACAAAGCTATTGGCTGCGATAGGCAGCATAGACAGCGTGACTGGATTTTTGTTGTAAAAAGGAAACGAATGAAGCAGGTCGTTCGAAGCGGTGAGATGTCTCGGTTGACTAATACTTGAGAATCGATAGAGAGAGGAACATGTGATTTTGATCCGATCACCTTGTTACACATCGATGCACGACCTCTCGCTCCGGGCACTTGAAACTTCATTGCTCATTTGAAAGTATGAATCACTACTTTATGAGAAAGCGCTAGGACCATGTGTTTATGTGCGTATGTATACATCTTTCTGTCACAAATTCCCACAAATTCCATGGAGAAAGTTGCAGTAAACGTGTCAAACCACAATTTTGCATATATAAGGTACCAGCATGTACATAACTTTTGATTCAACTGGCTTGGCCTTAACAAGGCGGGGATTTGTAACCTAATTGAGGCTGCTCGCGCCCGCGACGCATCTGTGTGTCTCTCGCGCGTATGCTCTCTGAACATTATCTAGCCTTAATTAGCTCACGAAGCCCGGCGTTCCTGAAGCTAAGCCAGTTGAATCAAATATTATATAGGTCACCATGCAAAAGAACGAACCGGTTCGATAAGTGAATCCTTCAAAATTTGCCCATCAAAGGAGGTCACGCTGCTTTTGACACACAGAATTACGTCGCCATCTAGAATTTGCAAGGTTATAAATTTGCATCTGCACTTCATCACGAGTTGATCTGCAACCCAAGGATTCAAGACAAAAATTGCTCAGGAAATTTTTGCGACATGAGCGCCAGAAAGAAGTGATTGCTAACTCATCATTTCATCAAATTTTGCCTGATAATTGAGAAGATTTTTGCTTATAAAGGCTGGATACCAAGTTAGACTGCAAAATCGAAAAGATACGCGTGTGTTGTTGGATACGTTTTCAATCGCTGATTCTATGTGCATTCCTTTTCTGCGCAGCAACACTCCGAAAGAAGTTTTGGGCGCTTGAAAGTCCAATTTTGTCAAGCCTCAGAGGCAGCGTGCGGTCAAAAATCGCCTACCATGTTTTGTCATTCTGGAGCCTTTCCGTGGCCCTGATTACAGTTATGAGATTCAAATTGTCCAAAATCCCCAAAAACCCGATATCTGGGGACCCTGTCTTGAGGGCGCGGATTGTCTTCAGGTGGGTGGGCGGAGCTTGATAGGACCTGGGCGGGGCTTCAAGCCTTTGGCTATTCCAGACCCATTACCTCCGTTCAGAGACAACATTAGAGAACCGGAACAACGCAGATGATCCTCTTCTGGAGCCTACATTTGGATGGGTGTAATAGGAGGGAGTTAGATGTAGCCCGGACACTACCTTTACGTGGAATGAAATCAGCGAAAAGCTGTACATCAAGTTTATTGACTACATGGAAAGGAGCACAGCCAAAAGAACTCCGCATAGATGTTTTTGTACAGCTACTCGCTATTTCGTGTTACTAAAGGTTTGACAAATTTAGACTACCAAACGTCCACAACTTCTTTCAGAGATTGTTCACAGAAAAGGAAAGCAGATTTGTAATAAGCTAGAATTTGAAGACTTATCTAGTATCATACATACTTTTCTGATTTGATAATCTAACTTGGTACCGTTTCCTTGCTAGGGATGAGCTTGCGATAATTATTTCCTTACGGTGACTAGCAAGCCAAACGATTAAAATTCAATTTTGTATTTGCTTTTCTGTAGAAAAGGCTCTCCCCAAAAAGTCTTTTCTTTTTTCTCAGTGTCTTCCCTTGACTCTAGTTACGAATTTTCAAAGTATTCTGCTCATGCACGTTTTTGACGTTGTTCTGGAAGGCGCTAAAATGTTCGTTCGCAGGAAAATTTATGGCAAAGCAAAAAGGTTTTTCAGTCGTAAAGATTCCTTAGGCTTCTAATATATTATTTTCCTACCTGCAAAAATGATGTCGCAGACGGGGATCGAACAAAGATTATTGTATAAAGCGTTCTTTTTTAGAACCATAGTGAATGTCTTTCAATACAATCAATTGCCAAACACTCATGAAACACCAAAGAATTCTCTATCTGTCATCAAAAAATAAATTATTATATTAGGTTGTAACATAAGTCTTGAGACACTCTGACTTCTTACGGCAATAAGTCATGCGGTTCACATTTTCAATAGGGGTCCACCAGGGCACCATTTGATAGAGCAGAGCAGCTTCCACATTCTGCGTAATTTCGCCCCAACTTTGACACTGTAAGTTTGCATCCAAAATGTGAGTCGTGCTGAAGGTTCAGAATGTCGCGAAAAATTCATACCTTTTTTCAAAAAATCCCACGAATCTCCAAC